ACCAAAGCAGTAATTGTATTAGAATTTGTTCGAGTAAAGTTATATTTTTATCTTTAAACAGTCGCACAGACTGTTCGCGTATTAGAGTCAGTGCATCAATGAAGATTTTTATACTTGTGTTGACTGTGTGCAAAGCAGTTTTTATAAGTAGTTGTAGAGTCAGTGATCGGGCGCCTAATAAATTAAAATCATACGCGAATTAAAGTCAGTGTTGTTCGCCGTATAATTTAATTTCGGTTTCGCGATAAGAAACTCATCTATAGTTTCTTATTTTCGTTTATATCGCGCCATTAGATTCACGCGAGGTGCATCACCATGGTGCAATTGAGTTTCATCCCATTGGAATGCATTGTAAGTATTCATTTTTATTAACATTTYATTCGTTTTTGTTTGATATGATTTTGGATCATATTACATACAACTTATCATTTTGTTCTATTTTATTTTACAGATATGACGACGGACTTTCTTTCACGGACTTATCAAAGATGTGGGATGAATTCTTCGATGGATCATCGATGGATCTTCGATGGATCTTCAATAGCAAACCGAGGAACTTTCCAATCGTTAGACTGCTGTACTTGCTGCGAAGTAGGAGTGTTTTGGAGCCATCGTAGAACTTCTTACGGAGTGAGTCAAAAAATTTAAGGTCCCTCCGGTGCTCAATCATGCCGAGGATGAATGGTCCTAATCGGCACGAGTTACTGGTTGTAATTAATTAAATAAATTAATGACGAGCACATGAGTAATTCCTTTCTAGGAGTTACTCATGAAAATTGTATATTCTATTGCATTGTATGGTATAATTTATTAGTTCAGGATAGGTTTTCTTGTCTCATCGGTTAAATTCATTTTATTAATAGTGCAATTAATTAATGCATTTTCTTTTTTATTATGTGTTTTGTTCGTGGTTAGTAGTGGTAAAACCGAGCATTAATTTACTCGTTTTCGTCCAGAAAAGCATGTAATAAATGTCTTACATGCATTGCTTCGTACTTAGTTTATCTAATCGCGATTAATTTTTATATATCGATACTTCGATATTATAAATAAATGAGCAAGAAAACAAACTCATTCGCGACGGATAGATTCTTGCAGTTAAGTGGTGGCTCAAAGCCCAGTTCTTTTATTAGAACAGCCAACTTAATGAAAAGAGTCGTCCGAGGTTTTGAAATATATTAAAAGATATTAAAAGATATTCAAAGTCATTATTTATTAAATAAATTGTAGAGTCCTTAGTCGCTTAGATGAATTTATATAAAAATGTATATTTATGTGTTATGTATTTATGTGTATTTAATCATATTTTTTAGATCAGGATTTTCAGCTTCTAATGTACTAATCTCCCGTTTCTCCCCCCTATACTTTCTGCGTTCTCATCTATACGTGTGCCCAGGTGCTACTCGTATGGGTGAGAAACGGTTAGTATAGGTTTAGTTTTAAGTTTTTCCCATATTGGCGGCTGTCATTGTGCTAGTGGTTGCACGATGTACTTTGCACTTGTATGTGCGTATTAGGTAAAGTGTTTTGTACATCGTTTCGCGATAATTTTTAATTAATGCATCATTCCATACTCTGAATACTACTTGTAGAATCATTTATGGTATGAAAAATACGAATATATATTTGTATTTTTCTATTTATATTAAATTTTTCTCATTTTTTTTTTCGAATCGTTTTGAATAGTAGACTTTCCACATTTATTTGTGGAAATTT